GAGACTCTGTCCTACGGCTGGAGCTCCCAAGGCTGATAAACCCTCCTGCCCTCTCCTTAGAATGTCAGGGGTTGGAAGGGACCTCGGAAGATCATCTAGTCCTCTACCCCTTTGTCTTCCTCTGCCTTTGCACAAGCAGGTGATTTTCTCTGCGCCCCTTGCGTGGGCAGGGATGTGTGAGGGGTTTGGGGCACTTTGGGCTGGGGACCTGTGCTGCCAGGCATCCTCTGTGCTGCTTTATCCTCCCCCATTTCAAAGAGGATTCATGCACAGGAGTGATGGGAAGTCACCTCGGGGACTGGGTGAACGCGGTGTGTGTGGGCAGGTCAGTCCTGCCGGTGGGCAGCCTTGGCAGCCGTGGGGGCTGTGGGCAGCGTGGGTACCTCCCTGCTCCCCTCCAGGACACGTGCTGGGGCGGTGGCTCCAGAAAAGGGGAAAATCAAGTTTTTTAATTCCAGCCTCTGACTTGCGGGAAAGCCTGAAAGCGGGAGAACCATCCCTCGGTTGCTCCTGCCCCCGGGGCTGGCGACAGCGCGGATCCAGCCCTGGCGGAATATCAGCCTCTCGCGCCTTCCCTCTCGCCGACTTGTTCCCCAGGAGTTGCTGAGCACGTAGGTTTGCTTTGGGCTTTGCTTGAGCCGTGCCCGCAGTTTTGGGGCTGCAGGTCTCTGAACAACCCTCTGCACCCAAACCAGCTCTGGGTACAAGTAGCCCCACTGGGCTTTCAGCATCCAGCTCTGCTGGGTGCAAATCCACGTCCCCATCTCTCATCTGTTCCCCTCCATCCTCCTTCTCCTGGAGTTGGGCAACAACTTCAGTTTTGGCTGCAGGAAAAATAGACTAAACTCATCTAGCACTGCCCAAAGTTTGAGGGTTGGGATCCCTCCAAGACAGGAGGAAGCAGAGCTGGTAGCTTTGGTTTTCTCCCTGCATTGGAGGAGGTTACCTGGTCCCAAACCCCTCAGGCCAGCCTTACCTTCAAGTGTCCGGCGTGCATCTGGGCTCGCTCGCACATCTGAAGGAAGTGCTTCACGTTGGTCTCGTCCAAAATGATGTAGACACCCACTTTTCTCTTGAAGCCTGCGTCCAGGAGGTCCTTGAAGATGTCTACATCGGTGAACATGTCCATGACCACTGCAATGACCTGGAGACGGGAGGAGAGAGATGAGTCTGGGTGTCATGGCCAGGTGGCAACTCCAGGATATCGCTGGGGCTTCTTTAGTGAAAGCCGAAGCAACACGCTCTCTCTCGAGGAGGCTGGGGTTTGGTGGCTGGGCTTTGGCCATCCCGAGGACAGAAAGCAGGAGCCCCTGGCCCCATTCCTCTGCTGCCACTACAAGAGATTTGGTCTCTGGCGATGACCTTAACATAATACACTTGTGAAAAAATTAATTTCTGAGGGAGTATCTAACTTCCTTGCCTTTAACAAGCTCCACAATTTTCAGAGTCCAGCTTCTGGCAGAGAAGCTTGGTGTCCCTTTGCTATTGCCACTGTCTGCGGCCCCATCGTGGGGAGCACCAGAAGGGGAAACTTGTGATGCAATGGTGTGTCTGTCTGTCTGAGGGCACGCTGTGTGGTGTGTTTGTTGTCTCTGGTGTTACCATGCATGCTTGTGCTGAGAGAACAGTATAAAAATAGTTAAAAGTGACTCTAGGCTTGGTAGAAAGTATCTGGATACCCCTGAGGCGCATTTAGGAGCTGAAATGACTTGTAATACCTTTTCAAAAAAACAGGCTTGGGTGCAAGTTGATGAGGTTGCTTAAAAGCAACCAGGAGTTTGCAGCTCCCAGTGCCAGCAGCCGACTGCTGTGCCAAGCGCAGGCTCCCGCTGGCAGCGATCTGGTTGGGCTCAGGGTCACTTCTCCACGGTGAGGCCGAAGCAGCAGAGTGTTTCTGTCATAAGGGCTGCTGACGTCCCCTCTTGGACTCAGTGCCCGTGGTGCTGGTCCTGCAGCATCCCTCCTGCCTCCCAGCCTGCAGGAAAGCTGAGCAGAGCTGGGATGGGGGTGCCAGCACCCCAAGCAGTGACAGCAGGGTTTGGCACACAGCAGCGTCACCCTTCTTTGCGAGCTGGAGCTGCCTTTGCACCCAGGGCTGCCGTGGCGAGCCTCGAGCGTGATGGAAAGATGCATCTGTGCATCTGCTGGGATTTTGCCGGCGTGCCTGCCTAAGCACCAAAGTGCCCTCCATGTTCGTGAATTTTGCCTTCCTGGAGACGGCGTCGTCCGTGATGCAGCAGTGGCAGCACAAGACGTGTTCAGGCAAAGGAGCAACCCTTGGAGTAGCAACCACAGCCGTGTCTGCCTCCCATTGCTCCATCCGGGGTGGCAACAGCCATGCAGGAAAGCGTCTTGTCATCGGGGCACTGGCATGTCATCGTCCCGTGCTTGGAAACACCATCAGTGCCCCCAGCTCTGTGCTGTTTCCTGGGAGGTGCCCTGGGTCAGGGGGATATGGGTGTTCTCTGCCCTTTGTCCTTCCAGGAGGGCTCCACGTGGCTGAGCCGGGGAATACGCCAGCGTGGGAGCGTGGGGTGACAGGGGGAGACCCCAAGATGCTCCTCCCTCGAGAGGGAAGAGATCGGGATGGTGCTGGGTGCTTGCACACCCAGGCACATCCAGTCCGGGGTTCTCAAAGCATTGAGCTGCCTTTTAATTAGTTTTGTGCCACAGGAGGTGGAGAGCTCTAATTAAGAAGAGGATAGTGCATTATGACACTACTGGCTCTTCCTTTTCTGCAGGCGACGGGGTGAGGAGCGAGGTTCTGTGGGGACCCCCAGCCTGTGTTGTCTCTGATGTTGCCCCACACACCCTGTTCACACAGGAGGTGCCAGCGAGCCAAATGAGAGGGGATTTCATGGCTCTGCCTCCTGATTTTAAGTGAATTCCCATCTATTCCCACTCAAGAGCTTCTCAACAGGCTTTGGATAAACCCTTCCTCCCTTGTGCACTTGCTTGTTTGTTTTGCATGTCCTGGTGGGGAAACTGAGGCAGAAGCTCAGGCGCTCGCTTTGCATGGGCTGCCTGGTGTTTTCTCACTGAAGATGTAAAGTGGGACAGGTTCAAAGCTACTCCTGAAGCTCAGGGCTTGGCTTTTCCTTTTACAGCAAGTAATTTGGGAGGAGCTGTGGTGTCTGCTCCGAGTCCCGGGTGAGGGGCGCCTGGGCTGGGATGGTTCAAGGCGATGGGTTTGCTGGCAGACACGTTGCCCCTTCTCTGACACTGATGCTCCCCACAGCCTTGGTCATGTCACTTTGCCTGCACGACACATTCTAAAACGGGGATGAGGAGAGTATTTGCCTTAATTTTGATGACGTCCCCCATCCCGAGCATGGCTCACGCACTTCCAGCAGTGGCCCAGGGTGGCTGGCTCAGGCAGCGGGGATGCAGCCCGGCTCTCATGCCCACATTTTCAACCCTATTCCTCCTGCTCGGCTGGTGCATCCTGTCGCCGCTCGGCGCTTCTGCTTCCCTCCCCGTCGCGTCTTGCCTGCAGGATGGGCTTGGCTTCAGTTTGTCACCGGGATCTCATGCCAGTTTGCCAATGTGCTGCGCTGGCACAGAATGAGCCGGGAGATCAAGGGCGGTGCTGATGCAGTCACTGTCCCAGGATCTGCTGCTGGACTGTCTGCGCTTGAACTTTGTCTGGGACCAGCTGGGTCTGTGCTAAACTCAAGTGCAGGGTTTAACCTACAGAGAATGGGGGTCTGTCTGCTCTGAAGAAGTGAAATCCTGTGTGCTGTTTGCTTCCCAGTCCGGGGAATGGGAGTATCTGGAGCCGCGTCATCCTAGGAAGCTTTGCGGCCATCCATTTGCCGTTCATCTGGAGGGTGCAGAGAAGACCAGCCCAAACCTTCAGCCAGATGGTCCCAGCAGCCCAAGAGGGTGACGCTTTTCTTCTCGGGGTCCCAGGAGCTGCTCGGATCCGTTGGATGCAGCGGATGTGCAGGGGCTGGGTCCCAACACCCCGAGGAGCAGTGAGCATCACATCCCATCGGATGCAGGGCAAGTAGTGTTGGGATCCTTTAAAACTGCTTTGATGGGCACGTCAGCTGCAGGATCATGTTTTATAGAGGAAATTATAGCTCTTTATTAGCTCACTCTGAATCATCAGATAATGATTTTTAGGGCACACCACGTGGACATTTAATGAATTAGGTAGGCACGAAGGCACAATTAGAGGAAGCGTGTTGGGATGAGGGAGAGGTGGGACAAGTACCATTAATAATTGCTCTCCACTGTCGACCCTTTCATCCAGGAGCAGCAGAAGGTTTTGTAAACAGTAATTAATAGGGCCTCCCAACCTTTGCTGGAAGTTGCTCAGGGTAATTATATCACCACAGTCCCAACCTGGCACCTCAAGTGCAGAGAGGAGGTCAGACTCATTGCTGTCTCCGATGGCTTTTGACCAAGGTCAGTGTTTCCAGCCTGCTCTGGTTTCTGGTTTCTCAGCCAAAATGTAGAGAAGAAGAGAGGAGGGAGACTTTCCTCCCTACCCATCCTGTCAGCTTTGTAGCCCGAGGGGATCTGCATTGAGGGAGAGACGGCCGCGCCACGACCGGACCTGGTGAAGGTCTCCAGGATGAAGGCTGGTGGTGCACCACGTCCCTGACCACCTCCGTTCATTGGCCACAAAGATGGAGATTTATTCGGAGAGTGGGGACACGGCCACAGGATCCTGCCTCTCTTCTCTCCTGTTTATTCCCAGAAAGAGGAGAGGATCATTTGCATCCTCTGCTCCGGCTCGCCTGGGTTTGCCTCTCTGCAGAGCAACGCTCTGAACTCGGCGGCGTTTGGCCTTGTTCCTGCAAGCAAGTAGGTTCATCTGCACCATCAAAGGGGCCTCAGAGCTCAGCTCTTGGCTCCCTCGCCCCAGCCCTGAGCTGCTGTGAGTGACGCTGACGTGGGCCCTGAACTTCCCTTGTCTGGGCTGTCCGTCAGGCGAACTTTGCTCTTCTGGCCACAAGACAACATCCCACGTGGCGGTGTTTGCTGTTGGACCTCTGAGATCATTTCAGACTGAGTGTCTTCGACAGCAGCTGGAGCAAGGGTCATCCTCTGGGATGCAGTACTGAAGCTCTCTTAAGCTCCTGCTCCTTGGCAGGTGGATGAAGAGCACGGCCATTACCTGCTGGGATGGGACAATTTGGCTGGCATCTCCAAGGGACACCACAGGAAGGACAGGGCACGTGGCCAGCCTACATGACGTCTGGTGGGGTGGCAGCTGGACTGTACCTCTGTCCACTCTCAGCTTTCTCAGCCAAACCCTTTCACCTCCAAGCTGCCGTGAAGACCTTAAGCCTTGGCTGAAATGTCTGGGTGCAGAGGAGGGTGGTCTGTCCCAGCATCCCCACGCTTAGGGGCACCCACACCAGTGGTCATCCAAGCTCAGCTGCATGTGAGCAGGTGCAGCTGCACCAGCTGTGATCCTCATAAATGGGGTGGGAGACCTCTGGATGTCAGACCCCATAACTCCTGCCATCCCCGGACCCTGCAGACTGCAGGTTTGAAGAACACACTCCTCTCTACGTTTCTTGGGATGCCACAAGCGTCAAGCAGGCTCCTGCATGTCACCAGTGGTGTCACCACGAGTCATCCCACTGCCAGGGACCGCCTGGACCAGGAGGCAGAGCCCAGTCCAGCTCATGGGGCATCAAGGTACAGGTGACAGCATCAACTGCAGCCACATCCCTGTGGCTTGGAGTAGCTCCAAGGAGAGGTGGGGACAGCGCAGACAGCAGGGCCTGGCAACTGCCTGACTCAACCGCCAGGCTCTGCTGAGCAGGAGGAGGAGGTAGGATGACTCAGGAGATGCTGTTTGCGTGGGGGCAGGCGGGAAGCGGTGAGTAGGCAAAGCCAGGCAGGAGCTGCAAGCCCAGGTCAGAGGCAAACGGAAAGATCCGAAGATGAGACATTGTTTGTGGTGCAGGAGTCCTCCCACCCTCCATCCCATGGGACTTCAGTCCTCCCTTCCCCCTGCCCTTACTGCAAAGCCCTTTGGCAGGGAAAACATTGCAGGTAAGGACAGGTCACCTCAGCTTTTGCAAGGTAACAGTGGCCAGAGAGAGCTCCCATCCTCAGTGGGACAGCTCTTCGTGCTCAGACTCCTGACCCTCTGGTCTTGGAGAAGCTCGGATGGCTGCGTGCTACCAGGCTCTTCTGCCAGGATCCATGAACCCCAGCATCGTCCCTGGCCCCAGCATGGGGGTCTCTAGAGCCAGGTGGACTCGATGCGTCTTAGCCTGTCTCCCCCTGCTCCACAGCCACCCTGGCAGGATCTCCCTCTTTTCCTGGTCGAGCATCCCCAACATTGGGATGCTCCTTCCTTAGAGTTCTCAAGGGAGTGGACGCAGAGAGCTTGAAGGGCTTCAACGTACTGTGAAGCTAGGTACCAACCCCTCCTGTGCTTCCCAGCTGGGACTGGGTCACTGGGAAATACCAGCAAACTCTGCCCACCACCAGTGGCCTTCAACACACGCTGTAATCTCCCTCCTTTCCTGGTCCTCCTGCCCAGGGCACCAGCCTGACCCTGTCAGTCCTGCACCCCAGCTCTTTGGTTTAATGCCACGAGGAGGACGAATCTCAACCCAGATGCCTTTGGCATCTCCCCAGCCTTGTCCTGCTCATTGTTCTCCTCTTAAAACCAGGATGAGGCCAGCTTGGAGCACCGCAGCGATCTCTGGCCAAACTTGGCCCTCGTATACACCAGTGCCCGACTGGTGGATTTGGCTATTTTGCCTCAGGGCTGAGTTTGGCTTCTCTGGTTTCTGCGTGTTGCCACATGCAGTCACACAGGGCTTCGGGAATAATGATCGTGGGGTGCCCGGGACCGTGGGTTTGCAACTAGGAAGCAGCTCAACCCCTTTTTCTCCCCACTGTTTTTCTCCACAGCCCTTGTAGGGCCTCTGGGATTAATGATGCTGCCGTATGGATCATGGGAAGGGTTGTGTTGGAACCAGGCTAACAGCACCTTCAGCAAAACCTCACCCCTAAATATTGCTTGAATGAACATGGGGAAACCCCAGCGCTTGACCCTGATGCCTGTGCTCAGGCAGAGCTGCCCGCAGGACCGGAGTTTTGCCTGGCCGAGCAGGACTTTTAAGATCTGTCCTCAGCAGGACAGCCTGGAGCAAGTCTTGCCCCATCCCCGCGCACGCACCTCACCTTCTGAGCCTGGCAGATCATCTTCCGCACCACCTCCTTGATGTGCGCCTGCCCCTCGATGGGCGGCTGCATGTAGACGGTGGCACGGGTGACCCCACGGTAGGCGATGGTCTCGGGCCAGCCCAGGTCGAGCTGGGGGATGGAGCGGTCGGACCTCTGGGGCCAGTACTCCAGGGAAGGGGCCACCTCCTGCTCGTCCCCTTGGCTGTTGTGATCGCCTTCGCTCTCACCAGCGCTGCTGCCGTGGCGCGGGATGTACTCGGAACCGGGGTCGTACGTCTCCAGCGTGTCCAGGATCTTCTTTAGCTCCAGCTCAGAGAGGAAGTCCCTGATGTTCTCCTTCTTGAGGACCTCATAGAAGGCGTCAGGGCCGCGGGAGGCCAGTGCCTCCAGGGCCAGCCGTTGCTCTTCGCTGTAGAAGAACTCAGGCTTGGACTCGCTGGACCTCCAGTTGACGTGGCTGTCATCCAGGCACTGCACCTGGGAGAAAGCCATGGTCACCACACGCGCCGGTACCCTCTCCGTGCCCTCAGCGAGCCCAGTAGGTCAACAATAAATAAGGAATTAATTATTCCCCAGTCTCTAAACACACAATTTGCTTTGCTTCGCCCTTCCCGGCTCAACGCGCAGCTGGGGAAACGCGCCGCTCCCTTCTCCTGCCACGCCGGAGCTCTTCTCTGCCGGGGAGGAGGATTGGGTTTCTTGCTTGCTCCCGGCGAGGAAATCCTGGAGCTTCCCACGGCCGGGGCTGTGCCCTTGGTGAGGCAGAGAAGGTCCTCTACCTCCGGCTCCACGCTCTTCTCATCCTCCGCTCTTTCAAGACGACAGCAATACCGGATAAAATAAAAAAATGGGAAACGAACAAACAGAAACCCGGCTTAATGAACGGCTGAGAAAAGCCAGATTTCTCGGCCCAAATGCCGTCCGTCCTTATCGTTCCTGGGCAACTGGGTCAGCCAGTGGGTTTCGCAGCAGCGAACGTCTCCGTCAGCCTCTCGCGCATCGCCCTGGCCGGCCGGATGGTTATTTCGGGCTCCCGCCAGCTCGTAGTGCCGGGACGGACAGGTAAGAGCAAGAAGTGAAAAGAGGAAAAGCAAAAGGGTGATTCATCCCTCCGCCCTGCCCCACCTGCAGTCACATGCTGCCTTCACACATTCCCGGCCCTGCTCGGGCATTAACTCTTTCGGCTGATGCTGTCCTCGCACCTTTGCCCCTAGAGACCCCCTGGGCTGTGGGGGTCAGTGTCAGTGGGTGGCTGGCCAGGGCTTTGGGTGTTTGTTTTAAAAGAACGGAAGAAAAAAAAAATCACCTCTCTCTTGAAATCACCCCCTCTCCTGGAGGTAAGTCAATATTTTCCAGGGACGCAGCTCTGCCTCATGGTTAACCCCTCCTGCGCCGAACGCGGGAACTCCCATTCTCATACAGGAGCTGGGAGCCCAGGTGGGTCCGGGGTGGTAGCACCGGGTCAGAGCCGCCATAATGTTCGAAGGTGCACATGAAAGGGTTTAGGCTGGATCTTAAGAAGCATTTCTTTACCAAGAGGGTGGTCAAACCCAGGAGCAGCCTTCCTGGAGAGGTGGCTGATGCCCCAAACCTGTCAGTGGTTAAGAAGAGTTTGGACGGTACCATTAATAACATGCTTTAACTTTTGGTCAGCCCCGAAGTGGTCAGGCAGTGGGGCTGGATGATCATTGTAGGGCCTTCCAATTGAGTCCTATTCTATTCTATTCTATTCTATTCTATTCTATTCTATTCTATTCTATTCTATTCTATTCTATTCTATTCTATTCTATTCTATTCCTGCTCTACTCTACTCTACACCCTCCTCTGCTTTGTCACGAGGTCTGCTGCATGGGCATGGTCACGGCACTACATCTTGCTAAGGTGGATTGCATTAATGGCATTAATGGGAAAATTGCATTAATGGGAAAACTCCTCCACCCCGAGTTCATCACTTGGTGCTCGTGAGCCAAAAACATGGAGCTTTTTGCTCGGAAACTCAGATAAAGATGAATTTCAAGAACATGGGTCGGATCTGTGTGGCGATGCAAAAAAAGGGAAGTGCCAGGGGCTGTGTCTCGCTCTCTCGTGTTGGGGCAGCTCAGCTGGATTTGCAGCTGCGTAAATGAGAGCCCTGCTTGAGTCAGGCTCCCTAGGCGAAGCCACTCGGCCATCAAAGCGCTTCTCTCTGCAGACACGGTGGCCGTGCAGCATCCTGGCCGCCCCGGCCGGTGCTCATGGCGCAGCAAAGCGCCGAGCCCAAGGAGGATTTGGAAGGAAAGACGAGTCAGAAATGTGCAGAAAGGGGAGAGACTCCAGCGGGACTTTCTCCAAGCTGGGGCTGTGGCAGGCTGAGCTGACACCTGCTCGGCTTTCCGTCGCAGTAAAGGGACTGGCAGTTTTTCTCTCCTTGCACTGGAGTAAAAGGGTTTACGTGGGGATGCGGTGGCCACCTGTCAGGATCAGAACATGGGGAGGGATGAAGCGTTGGGTTCCCACCACGGGAGGTGTTTCAGATGGAGCTGATGACTTTGTAGAAAGGCTGTGGGGATTTCCTGGCAGTGGGACATCACCTCTGGGCAGTGAAGGGTGCTGGAGGCAAAACTGGGTGTTTTAGGTGAAATCCCAGCCCTGCTGAGCAAGCTGCGGTGGCCTCTTGGCTGATGGAGTTGCAGAGAAAACATGACAGAGCCAAGCATGCAGCCAGCACCCACTAGGGAGCTTGGGGACCTCGTCCCCATCTCTTCTCCCTCCCTTGCATGACCCAGCCCAGGTAAGTTGAGAGATGCCCCAAATCAGGGCCAGTGCATCGAGCTTGGACGTGCATGGCATGGCTGGAACGTGCTGCGGTTTTACCCACCTCAGCCTCTGCTGGCTGTCCCTAGTCTTGCTTTTATTGTGCAAGGAGATTTATGGTCTCTTTAGCGGGGTGTGTAAGCTTTGTGATTTATTACGCAGCGGTGTAAGCGCTGCCATCCCATCCATCACGTGGGGCGAGGACGCCCG